TAACTACCTCTCTAATTTAAAGAATACACTGTTTTCATTGAGAGTTTTAAAATTTAATTTCGAATTGTGAATATAAAAAAGTTCATAGTAAACTTTTAGAGGTAATTCTAAAAATATTAGGATATCCATAAACTGGAAATTTCATCACTGTTTTGAATTATTTTCAGAGGTTAGCTTTATGGATATCAGTACATAAAACTGCATGTGTCGAAATAATCTTGTGGGGTAGTATATTATCCCAAATATTTTGTTATTGAGTTTGGGACTTTTTCTTTTTTTTTTCTTTCCGCTGCAGCTGCTAACTAACCCATGGGACTTTTTCTGATTCCAATAATTTACTAACTGAAGCAGTCATAAATTATTGAATTATGTTTTTAAATATAGTTGACAACAACAAAAATAGAGTTCACAAATCACTGTACTATTGCTCTTTGGCGTTACTCATTAGAGTATAAATCTCATTCCATGACTTTGCATTCAAAGGTTTCAGAAACTTCATGAATTTAATTTATATGTTATAATGGATAACATTTTACAGAAAATTGCTTTTCATAATTTATAAATTATCCAGTCAAATATCACAGAACAAGTTGCTGGGGTAAAAAATTCTCTTAACGTAATTTAGTAGGATATTAGCTTTGAGGAATAAAGTAAGCAATATGGTTTGGGGGGAAAATCCATGTTTCTTTAGATAAAGTTTATTTTGATTCATAATCAGAGGGAAATATAAAATTCTATTTTTTTAATAAATTTTTGAGACTATCTTATGGAGATTTCCAGAGTATTGAGCTATTATAGTACTTGAATAACGCGCACTATGTGTATGGAATTTAAAGAGAGATCAGTGTATTGACCCTCGATACACACTAGCGTCACTAGTGGACCTTGTGAAAAAATAGAAATGCCCCAGAATGACCCCAGACTAATTATTTCAGGAATTCAGAGAGACTGGGATAATCACTGGAATAGAGGGAGGATTAGGGCAGGGTTTCGTAAAGGAGAGAACCTGAAAATTACCATGGCTGAGGGTCTGGTTCATAGCTCAACAAGTGTAGAACATTGGCTTTCTCTGAGTGCTGAGGGTTGACTTTTGATTTTAGGATTGACTCATGATAACCATCTTCCGCAGATTGAAGGTAAAACCAGAGTTCCAATTCCATAACTTCCAGTGGGTGATAGACTTTTCTAGTGATCAGCGTACTCAGGACTGATATGTAGGACACTTCTCAAAAGGCCAGAAGCACTTGGGAGACCGAATTAGTGATTACTGTTATAATATTGTCTGTTGAACAGAGAGTAGAGCATTGGGATTTGATGGCTTTCACGTATGTGTTCATGTTGGACAAAAGAAGCCTGAGGAAGTTAGTCTTTGCTTTAATAGAGTATGTCTGCACCTTTCCAGTATATTTTCATCATCTAAAACTGACGTCTCTCACCAAGGAAAAGTGCTGGATAAACCTAGAAAAATTATTGTGCTTTGATGTTACTCTTCCAGAGTCCATGCGGCTTACCAAATATTTCTGTTAAGACATTCTTTGTTTGGGTAGGTTACAATATGTTGAATTAGCTTGATTAACTTACAACTTTAGATAGGGCCTTCTCTCAGGATAAGTAGTGGTTTCCTATACTGAGATTTGCTTGTCTGTCTGTGTGTCTTTTTTTCCATCTCTATCTCATGTATGCGTGTGTGCTTGCCATTCTTGTATTCTAGCATTGCTATCGGGGAGGAAATTTTGTGAATGGCTAAGATCATCCTTCTTGGTTTGTGTATTTTTAAAGTTTCTTCTTCAGAGAGTAACCTCTTAAATTCTGAGTGTGTCTTGCTTTGGTCACTTGTGTTCTCACTGTATTGACTACTGAAATTCTATTAATAGCTTATTGAAAGAATAAATATGCAGTTTGTATTTGCTTAGTGCTAGCATATACTTCTTTTCTCTAGTTCTGACTTTTTTTTTTTTTTTTTTT